GGCAATGACATTCCGTCCGTCATTCTCCCCCCCCCCCCCTCTCTTCGTCGTGGATGTTTAACGGACGCTTCAATCTGTGCACGGACGAGAGCGTTGGGAAGTTTTGACGATGGCAAATCGACGTTCCTATGACAGGGGCCCGGGTTATAGACAAAAGCCGATGTTCGTGACCCATCTTGCGACTAGACGATGGGAGTGGTGATGCTGAATGTGTTAACGATGATTTATACTGCTGCTGCTGCTGATGATGATGATTATGATTGTGAGTGATGGATGAAGATGGACACGATGCAACATGGTCATGAATATTATGCTAGTGCTGATGATCATGGCATGTTTGATGATGATGATAATGATTGTGATGATGTGATAATGACGCTGCTGATGATGATGACGAATGTGATGATAATTATCGTGTTGATGACGATGATGAACGTGATGATGATGTGATTACGCTGCTGCTGCTGATGATGATGATGAACGTAACGATGGTGCCAATACCACTGGTGCTGATGATGATCATAATCGGGCTGATGATGGTGATGTTAACTGGCAAGATGACGTACTCATTCAATTGCAACCGAATAAAAACACACCAAAGAGTATTTCTGCTCAAACGAGTTTTTCGCGGCTCTGTTTGAGCCAGTGGTGGAAATTCCACATTCCCATGCCGTGGGTCAGTGCGCCATAGAACAACTACAGTGGACGTCTCCCAACGCGTTTCGAAACCTTTGCAATTCGACATTCACGTGGCAGAGCCCGGTACGTCCGAGGAACCCGCATTGTAGTCTCTCTGGAAGCTGCCGTTTTTCTTGTCAATTCCACATTGCTGTGACGGGAGCTCCTGTTTCTCGGGTGGTGGAGCGGCTGGCTGGCTAACAGCGATGGTTGAATCTTAATTTTAGAGTTTTCGTGACTGCAAGGAATTATTCTTTGGTTCTTTCGGTTAAGTGACGTCTAAAGATAAAATAATAAATTAAATAATAGCATACTACGACGTTTCGATTGCAACACAAGCAATCATCATGATGTCTGTCTGCTTGTATGTCTGTCTATAGTTTTCTAGTTAGATTTTTGTTGCTATTTATTTTATGCCTGATGATGATTGCTTGTGTTGCAATCGAAACGTCGTAATATGTTATTATTTTATGTATTATTTATCTTTAGACGTCACTTAACCGAAAGAACCAAAGAATAATGACAGCGATGGTGTTTACGCGGACCCTGAGTCGCGGTGCAAAGGTCTAGGGGTTGGTCACGTTCATACAGTGATCACAGTGCATCATCATCAACAACAGCAGGCAGCATTGTCATCATTATTGCCGTCATCATCATGATCATAGCCATCAGCAACAATCTCAACATCTCGATTTAAAGCTTTCGTGGCTGCAGGGATTCATCTTCTTGGTTCTTTCGGTAAAGTCACGTAGAATGGAAGTAATAAAATAATAAAAATAAAACATAATAAAATAATTCTCACGACGTTTCGGCTGCTTGCGTTGTGGCCGAAACGTCGTGAGAATTATTTTATAATGTTTTATTTTATTATTTTACTATTCCCATTCCACGTGACTTTACCGAAAGAACCAAGAAGATGAATCTCAACATCATCATCATCATTGCGATGAGAGTCATCGTCATCATCGTCACGATCATCAGTCGAACAACCATCGTTAACTTCCCCTTGCAATGCGCTATCCAGGATCAGCACCTGCTTAGCTCCTGAGATCTGGCGAGATCGGCCACGTTCTGGGTGATTGTGTTGCGATGGTGAGATGTTAACTACCTCGCCTGGTGTGCAGGAGGTCGTGGGTTCCATCCCGACCCTGACGCCTGCTGCTGCTGTATATTTGGAGTTTGCGGTGTCTCTCTCTCTCATCATCATCATCACGGTGGCTAGGAGATGTTAACTCCCTCGCCTGGTATGCAGGAGGTCGTGGGTTCGAGCCCGAACCTGATGACTGCTGCTGTGTATTTGGAGTTTGCGTGTCTCTCTCATCATCATCATCACGGTGGCTAGGATATGTTAACTACCTCGCCTGGTATATAGGAGGTCGTGGGTTCCATCCCGACCCTGACGCCTACTGCTGTATATTTGGAGTTTGCGTGTCTCTCTCTCTCATCATCACGGTGGTTAGGAGATATTAACTCCCTCGCCTGGTGTACAGGAGGTCGTGAGTTCCATCCCGACCCTGACTCCTGCTGCTGTATATTTGTAGTTTGCGTGTTTCTCTCTCTCATCATCATCACAGTGGCTAGGAGATGTTAACTCCCTCGCCTGGTGTGCAGGAGGTCGTGGGTTCCATCCCGACCCTGACGCCTGCTGCTGCTGTATATTTGGAGTTTGCGTGTCTCTCTCTCTCTCTCCCCGTGGTCGCGTGGAGTTTTCTCCGCGTCTCCTGGTTTTTCCCCTCCACATTTAGAATCAACATCAAGTATTTGTCGCTACTGTCATACATGTCCACGTGACGGTCATCCACTTTCGTCGCGCTGTTATTTGTGGCCAGCTCGCTTCTAGAAGGAACAGAGCTACATAGCCCAGTGGTGCCTTTACTCGGTAAAGAAAATAAACAATCAAAATCATTTTCGATTTAAAGCTTTCGTGACTGCAGGGATTCATCTTCTTGGTTCTTTCGGTAAAGTCACGTAGAAGGGAAGTAATAAAATAATAAAAATAAAACATAATAAAATAATTCTCACGACGTTTCGACCACAACGCAAGCAGCCGTCATCAGATGAAGAAACAGCCCAGCTTAAATAGACGCTACAAGCCTGGGGCGTGTCATTCAGACGCTGTCTTCTCGACAGACCTGTTTCTTCACCTGAGGACGGCTGCTTGCGTTGTGGCCGAAACGTCGTGAGAATTATTTTATTATGTTTTATTTTTATTATTTTATTACTTCTCTTCTACGTGACTTTACCGAAAGAACCAAGAAGATTAATCTAAATAATTGTTGAGTTTATAGATAGCATCTAAATCATGTTAATTAATTCATGATGCTCGTCATGATGATTTTTTTATACTCATTGTGTATCGACCCCGGAGGGATGATGGTGATGATGATGATGGGCTGAGTCAACACCACCCCTCCCACCCCGCCCTAGAATTCCACGATCGAAAGCGTTTCATCTTTGTGGAAATATTTGATAAACGGGCACCGTCCCCCCTGCCACCTCTCCTCCACCAACCCCGACCCACCACGAGGGTTGTTTCAACAGCTGGTCCCACTTCTTTAGGTCACCACGAGGGCCTGGGTTCGATTCCCGAACTCGGCACGCCTGTTTTTTCGTGCACTTGTTCAACGTCCTTCCTTGCCCCTGTTCTGCAGAGTGTGCGTGAGTGAGTGTGTGTGTCAGTGAGTGAGTGTGTCAGTGAGTGAGTGTGTCAGTAAGTAAGTCAGTGAGTGAGTGTGTGTCAGTGAGTGTGTCAGTGAATGAGTGTTTCAGGTGAGTATGTCAGTGAGTGTGTGTCAGTGAGTGAGTGTGTCAGTGAGTGAGTGTGTCAGTGAGTGTGTGTGTCAGTGAGTGTGTCAGTGAGAGTGTGTCAGTGAGTGAGTGTGTGTCAGTGAGTGTGTGTCAGTGAATTAGTGTTTCAGGTGAGTGTGTCAGTGAGTGTGTGTCAGTGAGTGAGTGTGTCAGTGAGTGAGTGTGTCAGTGAGAGTGTGTCAGTGAGTGTGTGTGTCAGTGAGTGTGTGTCAGTGAGTGTGGTGTGTCAGTGAGTGTGTGTCAGTGAGTGTGTGTCAGTGAGTGAGTGTGTCAGTGAGTGGTGTCAGTGAGTGGTGAGTGTCAGTGATGAGTGTCAGTGAGTGAGTGTGTCAGTGAGTGTGTGTCAGTGAGTGTGTGTGTCAGTGAGTGAGTGTGTCAGTGAGTGTGTGTCAGTGAGTGAGTGTGTGTCAGTGAGTGGAGTGTGTCAGTGAGTGAGTGTCAGTGAGTGTGTGTCAGTGAGTGTGTGTCAGTGAGTGAGTGTGTCAGTGAGTGAGTGTGTCAGTGAGTGTGTGTGTCAGTGAGTGAGTGTGTCAGTGAGTGTGTGTGTCAGTGAGTGAGTGTGTCAGTGAGTGAGTGTGTCAGTGAGTGAGTGTGTCAGTGAGTGAGTGTCAGTGAGTGTGTGTCAGTGAGTCTGTGTCAGTGAGTGAGTGTGTCAATGACTGAGTGTGTCAGTGAGTGTGTCAGTGAGTGAGTGTGTGTCAGTGAGTGTGTGTCAGTGAGTAAGGAGCAGTAGTGTAGCGGTTAGCGCGCTGCGCTATGAACCTGGCGACCCGGGTTCGATACCCGCTCACGGCCAACACAGTGACGACTATCTGAACCGGTCCCGGGCCTCCCCTAGGTCGACTCAACCTCAATGAGTACCTGGTGCGATGTGTAAACATCGCTACTGGGGAGACAAAGGTGGCCGGGTGTAGTGCTGGCCACCCACCCCCTCGTGTGCCGTTTTAGTCTTTATAGGTGCTTGCTAACAGCACTTGCCCCTACAGTCTGTTACAGGCTACATGGGGGGGTCTTTGTTCTTTGTTTTTTTAGTGTGAGTGTGTGAGTGAGTGTGTCAGTGAGTGGTGTGAGTATGTGTGTGAGTGTGTGAGTGAGTGTGTGTGTGAGTGAGTGTGTGAGCGTGTGATTAACTACCACTAAATTACGATGTAAAAAACGTATAAGCTTGTGCTGGAGGCCCCGGGGGGACAGGCGTCTATGACGTCTCCTGGCCAAACCCCATTTGTGGAGCCAGGAGACTGAATCCTTACCCTTGAGGCTCCTCCAGAAACAACAAAAAACCACTTCGGATGGTCATGTGGAATGTTTGAACGCTCATTGCGGAGAAGAGGCTGCCACTCCTCTGTCGGGAGCTGGACCGGTACCGCCTGGATCTCTGTGGTATTCAGGAGGTCCGGTGGACCGGCTCTGGCTCCTGCCACCATGAGGGGTGGACAGTCCTCTACTCAGGGCAGGAGCCAAACAACAAAGAGTGGCTCTTCTTCTGAACAAAAAAATGAAGGGGGTATGGGAGCATGGCGGTGAGGTGTGGGAAGCCATAAGCCCCATGCTACTTTGGGCTCACCTTCCCATAAACCAGAGGCGAGGAGTGGTGGTCGTGGTTACTTATGCCCCCACCGAGGACGAACATTCGTGGAGGGATGCAGGCAAGGCCGATGAGTCAGATGCCTTCTATGACCTCCTGTCAAAGGTGCTGGCTAAAGTGGCCCCTCGCAATAGAGTCATCCTGTTGGGTGACTTTAATGCCCGAGTTGGTCATGATGCTAGCACCTGGTCTGGAGTGATTGGAAGACATGGGCAAAATCAGCTCAATAACAACAGTAGGAGGCTGCTAGATCATTGTGCAGCCCATGGGCTTGTAATTACCAACACGCTGTTCCGGCACCAGCGCATCCACGCAAGAACATCTGCTGGACTACATATTGACGGAACAGCAGATGCGAGCCCATGTCCTTGACACTAGGGCCTACCATGGAGCTGATCTGTCTACTGACCATCGACTTGTCATCTGTAAGATGTGACTGCCATTCTTCCACTCCCTTAGTGGGTGTACACCCAGGACCCCATTGAAACCCATAGTGACATGGTCTCAGCTAGCTGATGAAAGTTGCAAACGAGAATTTCATCATCGCTTGCAGCTGGGTTTGGCATCGTCCCCCACTCCTCCTGATGTCGAGGGGAAATGGGCGAGGTTTAGAGCTGTGGCTCATGCATCTGCAATGGCAGCTTCAGGTACATGGTCCAGACCTCCTCAGAGACCCTGGCTGACAGAGGAGGTGTTCAGGCTGGCTGAGAAAAAGCGACAGGCCCACTCTCATCATCTATAGCATCCCACGTCAGAGAATGAAGAGGCTTACTGCAGCATTCGCTGGGAGGTTGTTGGTCGCGGATTGCTGAAGAGATGGAGTCTGCCTCAATACAATCACAAATCACTCTTTAATTCCATCAAAAAAGGAACCTGCAGCACCACACCTATTGCCATCATGGTTTAAGGAAAGGGCGGTCCTGCACAGATGCCATATTTTCTGGCCGTCTGCTACAGCAGAGGTGTAGGGAATTCCAACAAGACCTACATCTCTGCTTTATTGACCTGGTCAAGGCCTATGATACCATCAGTAGGCCTAGGCTCTGGGTTGTTCTTCGTGCTTTCGGAGTCCCTGACACGCTGCTCATGATCATTAAGGACCTTCATGATGGTGAGCGGGCCCAGGCAAAACTACGGGGCCGGAATTCGGAGCCATTCCCTGTTCACTTTGGGGTGCAACAGGAATGTTCTCTGGCTGCCACATAATTTAACATCTATTTTGACCACGTAGTTCGTGAAGCCTTCAAAAGCCGTACCAGATGAATTTCCATCTGGTACAGATACAATGGGATGCTGATCGATGCCCAGGTGCAGTCAAGGGATGGCTCCCGATTGCTCAACTATGTTACGTATGCCGATGATCTGGTAATTGCGGTTCACTCAGAGGAGAAGTTGGAGCCGCTGCTGCTGAACCTGGAGCCCCACCAAAACTAAGCACCTGCCTGGGTATTTTGTACCATCGGACACTCCACCCCCACAACTCCCAATTGGTGATAGGGCAGTTGTGGAGAGAGTGGAGAGTTTCCCGTACCTGGGCAGTGTGCTCACGACCGGTTCCAGATTGACAGCAGAGGTCTCACTCTGAATCAGTCGAGCGGCAATATCTTTTCATTGGTTGCGTAACGCTGTGTGGAAGCTCCCGGGTCTGTCGCTCCGCACAAAGCTTCAGGTCTTCTCGGCCACAGTCATTCCCTCCCTTCTATATGCTTGTAAAACGTGGACCCCCCTAATGGAACAACTTCGCCAGTTATAAACATTTCGGCTGGCCTGCCTGCGATCCATCCTGGGTTTAACCAGGCTGCATTGTGTGAGGAGCTCACATATCCTTGAAAGATCTGGACAAAGTCCCATCGATGAGCTCCTCTGGCAGGCAAGGCTGCGTTGGCTGGTTCATGTAGCCCGCATGCCCAGCCACCGCATGCCTAAACAGCTTTTGTTCGGCCGGATCGAGGGGGCTAAACGGGCGGAGCACGGGCTAGAGAAGAGTGATGTGGTACAGGAGGATGTGGAGCTGAGTGGACTTGTCGATGACTGGTACCAGCGGTGTCAAGATCGGCCTCTGTGGAGGAGGCTCGTTAAGTTGGCACAGTAGGGGGAACAGGTGGTGCATCAGCCACTCATCTCAGTCGATCCGTCTTACCTGGGTCTGCCCCATGACCTCGTGCCAGCGGGCTTTCAAAACTTCACGTCGCCTCAACGTGCACATAGCCTGGCACAAGCCACGTAGTGGCGAATGGCGGTTGTTGTTGTTATTGTTGCGTGATTGTGTGCGTGAGTGAGTGTGTAGTGAGTGAGTGTGTGCGTGAGTGAGTGTAGTGTAGCGGTAGTGTAGTGCTTATCATGCTGCGCTACGAACCTATGAAGGCTGTGTCGGCCTTCGTAGGTGCTACACGCTCACAGCATTTGCCCCAACAGTCTGTTAGCTGAACCCATGCGCAGTGTAACCGCATATCGACCAAAACCGCATGCCAATGCTGGACAAAAATGTACCTGCAAATCACTCCGAACTGAACTATACTTTTATAGGACCGGGTAAGGCCCACGGAGCTAAGTAGCTCTTTCCCAGAAGCGACTTGGCCATCACAAACTGTAGCTCAACGAAGTGGCTTGTCGTCACCACGTGGACATTTATATCAGCCGAAGACTCTAAATGGGTGGTGATGTTGATTCGAAATGTGAAGCGAAAAAACCCGAGGACCCGGAGAAAAATCCACGCGACCACGGGGAGAGGGAGGGAGACAGCAAACTCCAAATATACAGCAGCAGGCGTCAGGGTCGGGATCGCACCCACGACCTCCTGTACACCAGGCGAGGTAGTTAACATCTCCTAGCCACCGTGATGATGATGAGAGAGAGAGACGCAAACTCCAAATATACAGCAGCAGGCGTCAGGGTCGGGATGTAACCCACGACCTCCTGCACACCAGGCGAGGTAGTCAACATCTCCAAGCCACCGCAGCCGCGAGTGATCGCACGGCAGCGATGAAAACACAAACCTGGCAGGACCCTCCTGGAAACAAAAGCCTCGAGACACTGCGAGGGCTTAGCCTACGCCGAGGAACGCGGAATGACGGTGAGAATAAGAACAACAACGATGACGATAATAACAACATCTAAAAAATCACGAATCCCATCTGCTCCTGGGACTCAGCCTTTCATCCGAAACTGCGGATGGTGAAGGGGGCCCAGTGCCCAATCTCCACGAAGGTGCGACGCTTGCAGAATGATTCTCTCGTTTTCACAGAAAATATTATTCAGCTACAGAAGTTATATTTTATTATATTATATTCATTTGGGTTGGGGGGGCGGTGGACTTTTTTTTTTCTCGAAACAGATACACAAAGACAAAGACCCCCCCCCCTCCCTCCGTGTAGCCTTACAAGAATGTTGGGCCAAGTGCTGTTAGCGAGACAGCATGGCACACGAGGGGGTGGGTGGCCAACACCACGCCCGGCCGCCTTTGTCTCCCCAGTGGCGATGTTTACACACCGCACCAGTGTTCTCATTTGAGGTTGAGTCGATCTAGGAGAGGCTCAGGACCGGTTCAGATAACCGGTGGTGGCACCTGGGGAGACAAAGGCGGCCGGGCGTGGTGCTGGCCACTCACCCCCTCGTGTGCCGTTCTGACCTTCATGGGTTGTGCTACTCGCTAGCAGCACTTGCCCCAACAGTCTGTTACAGGCTACACGGGGGATCTTTGTCTTTCGTCTCTCTCGAAACCGGGGAGCGGTGGTGGAGCGGTTAGGGCGCTGGGCCGCCAACCTTTGTATCGATTGATCGAGCCGTGCCCTGGACGTCGACTTCGTCTTTGCGATGTTGTCTCTCTGAAGAGCTGCGACCTGGTGACCTGGTGACCTCGTGACCTCGTGACGGGCTCCCGGTGCGTAGTGCAGGTCTGCCGAGCGCCGCTGGTGGTGGTGATGATGTTGTTATAATGATATTCTTAGGTTTTTTCGGTAAAGTCACGTAGGTAAAACATTAAAATTAATAAAAGTTAAATAAAAATTAAATAAAAATCACGACGTTTCGGAGGCAACACAAGCCTCTGTCTTCAGGTGGAACCGTCACAGCACGATAGCTGTATCAAGTAAATGAGAGATTACAAGAGCTCTCTCTCATTTACTTGATACAGCTGTCGTGGCTGTGACGGTTCCACCTGAAGACGGAAGCTTGTGTTTCCTCCGAAACGTCGTGATTTTTATTTTTGTTTTATTTAACTTTTATTAATTTTAATTTTTTACCTACGTGACTTTACGAAAAAACCTAAGAATATAAATCCTTGCAGTCACGAAAGCTTCAAATCTAGAATGTTATAATGATGTTGTTATGATGATGTTGTTGTCGATGTTGTTGTCGATGTTGTCGGTTATATTGTTGATGATGATGATGTTTTTTCTTGGTTCTTTCGGTAAAGTCACGTAGAATGGAAATAATAAAATAATAAAAATTAAACATAATAAATTCTCACGACGTTTCGGCCACAACGCGAGCAGCCGTCTGACGCTGTCTCCCCGACAGACCTGGTCTTCACCTGAGGACGGCTGCTTGCGTTGTGGCCGAAACGTCGTGAGAATTTATTATGTTTTATTTGTATTATTTTATTATTTCCATTCTACGTGACTTTGACGTAAGAACCAAGAAGATGAATCCCTGCAGTCACGAAAGCTTTAAATCGAGATGATGATGTTGTTATGATGATGATGTTGCTGCTGATGATGATGATGTTGCTGTCGAAGATGTTGATGTTGTCGATGATGTTGTTGATGATGTTGATGATGCTGTCGATGTTGTTGATATTGTTGATGATCCTGTTGTTGTTGATAATGTTGTTGATGTTGACGATGTTGTTGATGATGTTGTCGATGATGTTGTTGTCGATGATGTTGTTGATGCTGTTGTTGTTCATGTTGTTGATGATGCTGTTGTTGTTGATGTTGGTGTAGATGTTCATAATATTGTTCATGATGTTGATAATGTTGTTGATGGTGTTGTTGATGATGTTGTTGATGTTGTTGTTGTTGTTGATGGCGAGCAGCAGCTGACGGCGCCGCTCCTGGTCTCCGTGTGTGCCGCGGTGCTCAGCTCCTTCGAGTTCGGCTACAACATCGGCGTGACGAACGCTCCCGAGCAGGTGAGCAGGACATCGTCATCATCGTCAACATCAATATCATCATCATCGTCGGCAGCATCATTATTATCATCAACGTCATCATCATCATCGTCACGATCAACCTCACCATCATTATCATCAACGTCATCACCATCGTCATCATCATCATTAACGTCATCAACGTCATCATGGTCATCATCCACCTAACAATCGTCATCATCATCAACGTCATCATTGTCATCACCATCATCAACGTCATCATCATCAACGTCATCATCATCAGCATCATCACCATCATCATCATCAACGTCATCACCGTCATCATCATCAACGTCATCACCATCGTCATCATGATCGTCATCATCAACCTCACCATCGTCATCATCATCAGCGTCATCATCGTCATCATCAACCTCACCATCATCACCATCACCATCGTCATCATCGTCATCATCACCATCATCACCATCGTCATCAGCAACCTCACCATCATCACCATCACCATCGTCATCATCGTCACCATCATCATCATCACCATCGTCATCATTCACCTCACCATCATCACTTGCCCCCGACAGTCTGTTATGTCTACACGGGGATCGTTGATATTTGTGTCATTGTGGGCGTCACTACGTCACTACGTCACTGTGCGCGTCACTGTGTGCGTCACTACGTCACTACGTCACTGTGCGCGTCACTGTGTGCGTCACTACGTCACTACGTCACTGTGCGCGTCACTGTGTGCGTCACTGTGCGCGTCACTGTGTGCGTCACTACGTCACTACGTCACTGTGCGCGTCACTGTGTGCGTCACTGTGCGCGTCACTGTGTGCGTCACTGTGTGCGTCACTGTGTGCGTCACTGTGTGCGTCACTGTGTGCGTCACTACGTCACTACGTCACTGTGCGCGTCACTGTGTGCGTCACTGTGCGCGTCACTGTGTGCGTCACTGTGTGCGTCACTGTGCGCGTCACTGTGTGCGTCACTGTGTGCGTCACTACGTCACTACGTCACTGTGCGCGTCACTGTGTGCGTCACTGTGCGCGTCACTACGTCACTACGTCACTGTGCACGTCACTGTGTGCGTCACTGTGTGCGTCACTACGTCACTACGTCACTGTGCGCGTCACTGTGTGCGTCACTGTGTGCGTCACTACGTCACTACGTCACTGTGCGCGTCACTGTGTGCGTCACTGTGCGCGTCACTACGTCACTACGTCACTGTGCACGTCACTGTGTGCGTCACTGTGTGCGTCACTACGTCACTACGTCACTGTGCGCGTCACTGTGTGCGTCACTGTGTGCGTCACTACGTCACTACGTCACTGTGCGCGTCACTGTGTGCGTCACTGTGCGCGTCACTACGTCACTACGTCACTGTGCGCGTCACTGTGTGCGTCACTACGTCACTACGTCACTGTGCACGTCACTGTGTGCGTCACTGTGTGCGTCACTACGTCACTACGTCACTGTGTGCGTCACTGTGTGCGTCACTACGTCACTACGTCACTGTGCACGTCACTGTGTGCGTCACTGTGCGCGTCACTACGTCACTACGTCACTGTGCGCGTCACTGTGTGCGTCACTGTGTGCGTCACTGTGTGCGTCACTGTGTGCGTCACTACGTCACTACGTCACTGCGCGCGTCACTGTGTGCGTCACTGTGTGCGTCACTGTGTGCGTCACTGTGTGCGTCACTGTGTGCGTCACTACGTCACTACGTCACTGTGTGCGTCACTGTGTGCGTCACTGTGTGCGTCACTACGTCACTACGTCACTGTGCACGTCACTGTGTGCGTCACTGTGCGCGTCACTACGTCACTACGTCACTGTGCGCGTCACTGTGTGCGTCACTGTGTGCGTCACTGTGTGCGTCACTGTGTGCGTCACTACGTCACTACGTCACTGTGCGCGTCACTGTGTGCGTCACTGTGTGCGTCACTGTGTGCGTCACTACGTCACTACGTCACTGCGCGCGTCACTGTGCGCGTCACTGTGTGCGTCACTACGTCACTACGTCACTGTGCACGTCACTGTGTGCGTCACTGTGTGCGTCACTGTGTGCGTCACTGTGTGCGTCACTACGTCACTACGTCACTGCGCGCGTCACTGTGTGCGTCACTGTGTGCGACACTACGTCACTACGTCACTGTGCACGTCACTGTGTGCGTCACTGTGTGCGTCACTGTGTGCGTCACTGCGTGCGTCACTGTGTGCGTCACTACGTCACTACGTCACTGTGCACGTCACTGTGTGCGTCACTGTGTGCGTCACTGTGTGCGTCACTACGTCACTACGTCACTGTGCACGTCACTGTGTGCGTCACTGTGTGCGTCACTGTGTGCGTCACTGCGTGCGTCACTGTGTGCGTCACTACGTCACTACGTCACTGCGCGCGTCACTGTGTGCGTCACTGTGTGCGTCACTGTGTGCGTCACTACGTCACTACGTCACTGTGCACGTCACTGTGTGCGTCACTGTGTGCGTCACTGTGTGCGTCACTGTGTGCGTCACTGTGTGCGTCACTACGTCACTACGTCACTGCGCGCGTCACTGCGCGCGTCACTGTGTGCGTCACTGCGCGTGTCGCAGATAATCCGCAGTTTCTACAATGCCACGTGGATGGGTCGCCACGGCGTGGCCATGCCGCACTCGTCGCTCACTGCCGTCTGGGCTCTCTCCGTCGCCATCTTCGCCGTGGGCGGCATGGTGAGCGCCCTCATGGTGGGGGCGCTCACCTCCAAATACAGCAGGTGACACAGCCACACCTACAGCAGGTGACTCAGCCACACCTACAGCAGGTGACACAGCTACACCTACAGCAGGTGACTCAGCCACACCTACAGCAGGTGACTCAGCCACACCTACAGCAGGTGACTCAGCTACACCTACAGCAGGTGACTCAGCCACACCTACAGCAGGTAACTCAGCTACACCTACAGCAGGTGACTCAGCCACACTTACAGCAGGTGACTCAGCTACACATACAGCAGGTGACTCAGCCACACCTACAGCAGGTGACTCAGCTACACATACAGCAGGTGACTCAGCTACACCCACAGCAAGTGACTCAGCTAGACCTACAGCAGGTGACACAGCTACACCTACAGCAGGTGACTCAGCTACACCTACAGCAGGTGACTCAGCTACACCTACAGCAGGTGACTCAGCCACACCTACAGCAGGTGACTCAGCCACACATACAGCAAGTGACTCAGCTACACCTACAGCAGTTGACTCAGCTACACCTACAGCAGGTGACTCAGCTACACCTACAGCAGGTGACTCAGCCACACCTACAGCAGGTGACTCAGCTACACCTACAGCAGGTGACTCAGCCACACCTACAGCAGGTGACTCAGATACACCTACAGCAGGTGACTCAGCCACACCTACAGCAGGTGACTCAGCTACACCTACAGCAGGTGACTCAGCTACACCTACAGCAGGTGACTCAGCCACACTTACAGCAGGTGACTCAGCCACACCTACAGCAGGTGACTCAGATACACCTACAGCAGGTGACTCAGCTACACCTACAGCAGGTGACTCAGCCACACCTACAGCAGGTGACTCAGCTACACCTACAGCAGGTGACTCAGCCACACTTACAGCAGGTGACTCAGCTACACATACAGCAGGTGACTCAGCTACACCTACAGCAGGTGACACAGCCACACCTACAGCAGGTGACTCAGCCACACATACAGCAAGTGACTCAGCTACACCTACAGCAGTTGACTCAGCTACACCTACAGCAGGTGACTCAGCTACACCTACAGCAGGTGACTCATCTAGACCTACAGCAGGTGACTCAGCTACACCTACAGCAGGTGACTCAGCTACACCTACAGCAGGTGACACAGCTACACCTACAGCAGGTGACTCAGCTACACCTACAGCAGGTGACTCAGCTACACCTACAGCAGGTGACTCAGCCACACCTACAGCAGGTGACTCAGCTACACCTACAGCAGGTGACTCAGCCACACCTACAGCAGGTGACTCAGCTACACCTACAGCAGGTGACTCAGCTACACCTACAGCAGGTGACACAGCTACACCTACAGCAGGTGACTCAGCTACACCTACAGCAGGTGACTCAGCTACACCTACAGCAAGTGACTCAGCTACACCTACAGCAGGTGACTCAGCTACACCTACAGCAGGTGACTCAGCTAGACCTACAGCAGGTGACTCAGCTACACCTACAGCAGGTGACTCAGCTACACCTACAGCAGGTGACTCAGCTACACCTACAGCAGGTGACTCAGCTACACCTACAGCAGGTGACTCAGCCACACCTACAGCAGGTGACTCAGCCACACCTACAGCAGGTGACTCAGCTACACCTACAGCAGGTGACTCAGCTACACCTACAGCAGGTGACTCAGCCACACCTACAGCAGGTGACTCAGCTACACCTACAGCAGGTGACTCAGCTACACCTACAGCAGGTGACTCAGATACACCTACAGCAGGTGACTCAGCCACACCTACAGCAGGTGACTCAGCCACACCTACAGCAGGTGACTCAGCCACACCTACAGCAGGTGACTCAGCCACACCTACAGCAGGTGACTCAGCCACACCTACAGCAGGTGACTCAGCCACACCTACAGCAGGTGACTCAGCTACACCTACAGCAGGTGACTCAGATACACCTACAGCAGGTGACACAGCTACACCTACAGCAAGTGACTCAGCTACACCTACAGCAAGTGACTCAGCTACACCTACAGCAGGTGACTCAGCTACACCTACAGCAAGTGACTCAGATACACCTACAGCAGGTGACTCAGCTACACCTACAGCAGGTGACTCAGCTACACCTACAGCAGGTGACTCAGCTACACCTACAGCAGGTGACTCAGCTACACCTACAGCAGGTGACTCAGCCACACCTACAGCAGGTGACTCAGCTACACCTACAGCAGGTGACACAGCTACACCTACAGCAGGTGACTCAGCTACACCTACAGCAGGTGACTCAGCTACACCTACAGCAGGTGACTCAGCCACACCTACAGCAGGTGACTCAGCTACACCTACAGCAGGTGACACAGCTACACCTACAGCAGGTGACTCAGCCACACCTACAGCAGGTGACTCAGCTACACCTACAGCAGGTGACTCAGATACACCTACAGCAGGTGACACAGCTACACCTACAGCAGGTGACTCAGATACACCTACAGCAGGTGACACAGCTACACCTACAGCAGGTGACACAGCTACACCTACAGCAGGTGACACAGCTACACCTACAGCAGGTGACTCAGCTACACCTACAGCAGGTGACTCAGCTACACCTACAGCAGGTGACTCAGCCACACCTACAGCAGGTGACACAGCTACACCTACAGCAGGTGACTCAACTACACCTACAGCAGGTGACTCAGATACACCTACAGCAGGTGACACAGCTACACCTACAGCAGGTGACTCAGCCACACCTACAGCAGGTGACTCAGATACACCTACAGCAGGTGACACAGCTACACCTACAGCAGGTGACTCAGCTACACCTACAGCAGGTGACTCAGATACACCTACAGCAGGTGACACAGATACACCTACAGCAGGTGACTCAGATACACCTACAGCAGGTGACTCAGCCACACCTACAGCAGGTGACTCAGATACACCTACAGCAGGTGACTCAGATACACCTACAGCAGGTGACTCAGCTACACCTACAGCAGGTGACTCAGCTACACCTACAGCAGGTGACTCAGATACACCTACAGCAGGTGACACAGCTACACCTACAGCAGGTGACTCAGCCACACCTACAGCAGGTGACTCAGATACACCTACAGCAGGTGACTCAGATACACCTACAGCAGGTGACTCAGATACACCTACAGCAGGTGACTCAGCTACACCTACAGCAGGTGACTCAGCTACACCTACAGCAGGTGACTCAGCTACACCTACAACAGGTGACTCAGCTACACCTACAGCAGGTGACTCAGCTACACCTACAGCAGGTGACTCAGCTACACCTACAGCAGGTGACACAGCTACACCTACAGCAGGTGACTCAGATACACCTACAGCAGGTGACTCAGATACACCTACAGCAGGTGACTCAGCTACACCTACAGCAGGTGACTCAGATACACCTACAGCAGGTGACACAGCTACACCTACAGCAGGTGACTCAGATACACCTACAGCAGGTGACTCAGATACACCTACAGCAGGTGACTCAGATACACCTACAGCAGGTGACACAGCTACACCTACAGCAGGTGACTCAGCCACACCTACAGCAGGTGACTCAGATACACCTACAGCAGGTGACTCAGATACACCTACAGCAGGTGACTCAGCTACACCTACAGCAGGTGACTCAGCTACACCTACAGCAGGTGACTCAGATACACCTACAGCAGGTGACTCAGCTACACCTACAGCAGGTGACTCAGCTACACCTACAGCAGGTGACTCAGCTACACCTACAGCAGGTGACTCAGCTACACCTACAGCAGGTGACTCAGCTACACCTACAGCAGGTGACCTCAGCTACACCTACAGCAGGTGACTCAGCTACACCTACAGCAGGTGACTCAGCTACACCTACAGCAGGTGACTCAGCTACACCTACAGCAGGTGACTCAGCTACACCTACAGCAGGTGACTCAGATACACCTACAGCAGGTGACTCAGCTACACCTACAGCAGGTGACTCAGATACACCTACAGCAGGTGACACAGCTACACCTACAGCAGGTGACTCAGATACACCTACAGCAGGTGACACAGCTACACCTACAGCAGGTGACTCAGATACACCTACAGCAGGTGACTCAGCTACACCTACAGCAGGTGACTCAGATACACCTACAGCAGGTGACTCAGCTACACCTACAGCAGGTGACTCAGATACACCTACAGCAGGTGACTCAGCTACACCTACAGCAGGTGACTCAGCTACACATACAGCAGGTGACTCAGATACACCTACAGCAGGTGACTCAGCTACACCTACAGCAGGTGACTCAGCTAGACCTACAGCAGGTGACTCAGCTACACCTACAGCAGGTGACTCAGATACACCTACAGCAGGTGACTCAGCTACACCTACAGCAGGTGACTCAGATACACCTACAGCAGGTGACTCAGATACACCTACAGCAGGTGACTCAGCTAGACCTACAGCAGGTGACTCAGCTACACCTACAGCAGGTGACTCAGATACACCTACAGCAGGTGACTCAGCTACACCTACAGCAGGTGACTCAGTCACACCTACAGCAAGTGACTCAGCCACACCTACAGCAGGTGACTCAGTCACACCTACAGCAGGTGACTCAGTCACACCTACAGCAGGTGACTCAGCTGGTGTGCCGGATACGGCACTGACATTTTTCTCCTGTGGCTCACCCAACCGGCTGAAATTAACCCCCTGTCTAGATGCCCCCCTCTCACGTGATCCCACCCTCACCACCACCCCACCCACCCCCACCCCCACGTGACTCCACCCTCACCACCACCCCAGCCACTCCCACTGCCCCTGTCCCACCACATTCCCCAGTGCCACCTTGAGGTGGCTCATTCCCGAGACCCAAAAACACAAAGCGCCTCGCCCAGCCCCCTAATCGCCTTCACGGGAATCACAATCTTCATTTGGGATGAATCCGAAGAGCTATAAAGCTCTTTTTGCACACGTGTCCAGTCTGGGGCACCAGCGAGAAAGTCACAACAACAAACAACACGAACACACGACAGGACAAGGATAGGCGAGGTAGGGAAATCACGAAAATATATTTGTTTTCTTACCAGGTCAAGCCCGCGGAGCGAGATAGCTTATTTTTCAGAAGCGACCTGGTCACAAATGATAGCTCCACGTAGTGGCTTATCACGTGTACATTTATAGCAGCCAACAAATCTAAGTGATCTAAACAGACTGTAGGGGCAAGTGCTGTTAGCGAGTAGCACCTGTGAAGGCCGGCACGGCACACGAGGGGATGGGTGGCCAGCACCACGCCCGGCCGCCTTTGTCTCCCCAGTAGGAATGTCTTTACACACCGCACCAGGTACTCATTTGAGGCTGAGTTGACCTAGGAGAAGGCCCAGGACGGGTTCAGATAATCGTCAGCGCTCAGTGTCTCATAAGCAGAGTCAGGCTCACCTGAAGCTGTGCATTATACGACTTTTGAGTTGTGCATTATACGACTTTTGCGTTGTGCATTATACGACTTTTGCGTTGTGCATTATACAATGTTGCGTTGATCTAGCAGCCCTTCTTCTGCCAGTTCACCACCTGTGATTGCAGTGAAGCCCGGCTCTGCCGATGAGACCCGGTTGCGTCGAAACCGGTCAAGGATTTTCTTTCCTCAGACTGAACCAATCCCGCTGAGATGCTGCACCTCCCATAAGGCTGTGCGGCTGATGAGATGTGTAAAAAGATATACAGCACATATGCTTGTATTTGTTTTCCTGTAGAGTGACAGACACGGGAAGGAGGCTTCTGCTGCTTATTTGTATTGTCCTGAGACCCACGAGCGGTGACCCCTACCGGTGACCCTTACCGGTGACCCCTACCGCCCCGTGGAATGTGTTGACCTCTATGACCCCTGTACAACTACAACAGCAGCAGCAGCCACCATTCGCCACCAAGTGGCGGCGACGTCACCACGCCACCTGTGCCAGGCTAGATGCACTTTGAGGCCGTCACGGAAGTTTTGAAGGTTCGCTGCTGGCAGGAGGTCACGGGACAGACCCCAGGTGCCATAGGTTAACCGACTGGCGTATGCACCACCTGTGCTCCCTACTGTGCCGACTTGCTAAGTTGTTGTGAGCCATCGCTCCTCCGCCCTCCGTTGTTACTGGAGGGCGACTGCCTCCAACTGCCCAGCAGCGTCCTTCACGAGCCTCCTCCATAGAGATCGATCTTGACACCGCTGGTACCAGTCATCGGCAACTCCACTCAGCTCCACGTCCTCCTGTACCACATCACTCCATCTCTTCTCTAGCCCATGCCGCGCCCATTTATCTCCCTCTATCTGGCCAAACAAAAGCTGTTTGGGTATGCGTTGGCTCGGCATGCAGGCTACCTGACCCAGCCAACGCAGCGTTGCCTGCCGGAGGCGTTCACTGATTGGACTGTGTCCAGGCCTTCCAAGGATTTATTAGTTCCTCACAAAATCCAGTCTGGTTAAACCCAGGATGGATGGTAGGCAGGCCAGCCCGAATGTTTCTAACCGGGGCAGATATTCAATTAGGGGGATCCACGTTTCGCAAGCATAGAGCAGGGAGGGTATAACTGTGGCCGAGAAGACCCGAAGCTTCGTGTGGAGCGACAGACCAGGTAGCTTCCACACAGCCAATGAAAATATAATGCCGCTCAACTAATTCGGAGTGAGACTTCTGCTGTCGATCCGGAGCTGGTCATAAGCACACTGGCCAAGTACGGAAACCTCTCCACTCTCCCCACAACTACTGCTCCATCGCCAATGGGAAGTTGCGCGAGGTGGAGTGTTTGATGACACAAAACACCCAGGCAGGAGTTTAATTTTGGTTGGGGCTGATTGTAAGTCTCCGCCTATTAAGTGGCACGCTCCAGGTTCAGCAGCAGCGCCTCAGACCCCTTCTCTGAGTGAGCAACAATCGCCAATTAATCAGTGTACATAACACGGTTGACCAATAGGGAGCCATCCCTTGACCCCTGTGACCTCTGTGACCCCTGCGTGCCTGGAGGGGGGGGGGGTAGTGAGGTGGGGGCGTCCTTCTTGACTCGCCCAGTACCTCACCAACTCACCAACTACCACCTCACTCCTCCGCACCTCACCACCTCGCCCACTCACCACCTCGCCCACTCACCACCTCGCCCACTCACCACCTCGCCCACTCACCACCTCGCCCACTCACCACCTCACTCCTCCGCACCTCACCACCTCGCCCACTCACCACCTCGCCCACTCACCACCTCGCCCACTCACCACCTCGCCCACTCACCACCTCGCCCACTCACCACCTCACTCCTCCGCACCTCACCACCTCGCCCACTCACCACCTCACTCCTCCGCACCTCACCACCTCGCCCACTCACCACCTCGCCCACTCACCACCTCGCCAACAAAAACAGCAGCCGCCATTCGTCACAAAGTGGCGGTGACGTCACCACGGCGCTAGTGCCAGGCTATGTTCACGTTAAGGCCACGTGAAGTGTCGAAACGCCCGCTGGTAATTATTTTTGTGCCGGTGATAATTATGGATGTTACGGTGGTGGGAATTGTTGTTGTGGTGGTAATTGTTGTTGTTATGGTGGAGGTAATTGTTGTTGTGGTGGTAATTGTTGTTGTGGTGGTAATTGTTGTTGTGGTGGTAATTGTTGTTGTGGTGGTAATTGTTGTGGTGGTAATTGTTGTTGTGGTGGTAATTGTTGTTGTTGTGGTAATTGTTGTTGTGGTGGTAATTATTGTGGTGGTAATTGTTGTGGTGGTGGTAATTGTTGTTGTGGTGGTAATTGTTGTTGTGGTAATTGTTGTTGTGGTGGTAATTGTTGTGGTGGTAGTAATTGTTGTTGTTGTGGTAATTGTTGTTGTGGTAATTGTTGTGGTGGTAATTGTTGTTGTGGTGGTAATTGTTGTGGTGGTGGTAATTGTGGTGGTGGTGGTAATTGTTGTGGTGGTAGTAATTGTTGTTGTTGTGGTAATTGTTGTGGTGGTAATTGTGGTGGTGGTGGTGGTAATTGTTGTGGTGGTAATTGTTGTGGTGGTAATTGTTGTTGTGGTAATTGTTGTTGTGGTGGTAATTGTTGTGGTGGTGGTGGTAATTGTGGTGGTGGTAATTGTTGTTGTTGTGGTAATTGTTGTTGTGGTGGTAATTGTTGTGGTGGTGGTGGTAATTGTTGTGGTGGTAATTGTTGTTGTTGTGGTAATTGTTGTTGTGGTGGTAATTGTTGTGGTTGTGGTGGTAATTGTTGTGGTGGTGGTGGTAATTGTGGTGGTGGTGGTAATTGTTGTGGTGGTAATTGTTGTTGTTGTGGTAATTGTTGTGGTGGTGTTGTTGCAGGCGTAACTGCCTCATGGCCAACAACGCGCTGGCGCTGCTGGGCGGGACCCTCATGGCCATTTCCAAGGCGGCCTCCTCCTACGAGACGCTCGTCGCAGGCCGACTCATCGTGGGCCTCTACTGCGGTGAGGGTGGTGAGGGTGGTGAGTGGTGGTGAGGGTGGTGAGGGTGGTGAGGGTGGTGAGGGTGGTGAGGGTGGTGAGGGTGGTGAGGGTGGTGAGGGTGGTGAGGGTGCAGTTAAGGTTGGTGGTGGTGGTGATTGTCATGATGATGTTGGTGGTGGTGGACGTGACATTGGTGGCTATGGTGATGGAGATCATGTCTGTGTAGTGACATAGAATGGGTCACTACAGCGCCTAGCGCCAGTTACTGATAGAGAGGGGCACTGTGAGTGTAGTAGCCCTCTCTGCCAGCAGGGCATGTAATGTCATGGAACGGGTCCCTAGGGGGCGTAGTGCTGGTGGCTGGCAGAGAGAATATGTGACTAAGTGCAAACAGAAAATCCAAGAAAAGACAGCAAAATATTGCAGAACCAACGCTGTGTGCAAAAATCCCAGTGGAATGCAAGTCAAACAAAAACAACAACAACCACAAGACAACTTAGATTAAGGCCATCAGTCTAACTCTGTACTACAACAAACAAACATGGCTAAACCAATACACTTTTCGAAATCACCAAAATAAAGCTATGAAAGGTGACAGAAGGGACACGTGGGGTATGGCCCAGAACCTTCTGGTAGGTTCCAGAAGAGGGCGTGGCCGAGGGCGGAGCCAGGCCACGCTGGGGGGCATAAAAGGGAGGTCCCGAGGCTGGGTCAGGGCTATCTGCTGGAATGGAGTCCTGCGTCCTACATCTTCCACTGGGCCTTCGAGAGAAGTCGCAAACGGGTTTTGATTCCCTACCCGTACTCGGCCGTACCCGTACCCTACCCGTACCCGGCCGGGTACGGGTAGGGTACGGGTATTGGTTACCTGATTGCGACCTCTGGGATGAAGCCATGTTGCAGGCGCGGGTGGGTTGATTCTAGGAACTTGAATTGTGGGAAATGAGTGACAAACAGTTACTCACCAGTGACTCACGGCCTACCCGTACCCGTACCCGGCTGCACCAGGGTCGCAAACGGGTACCCGTACCCGGCCGGGTACGGGTAGCCGGGTATCGGGTAGGGTACGGGTATCGGGTACCCGGTTGCGACCTCTGGCCTTCGATCCTCGGTATTCGTGCTCGGCATTGTGGGTCAGGCAGTGTGCCGACTGGCCTGACCCGGTTTATGTCGTTATCCCGTTGTGGCCCATAGTATAAACGTGTTGCCTCCTGAGTTAGTGTGTGTCTCTCAGTGAACCCACTACATCTGCATTAACCACATGTACTTGTGGTGAGCATGGAGGCATGGTTCCTTGGAAATGGTTTCGGTTTGGTGTTTTAACATCTTAACACCTGTTTTGTTCTAGATTTGAAGCTTTCGTGACTGCAAGTATTCATATTCTTAGGTTTTCTCGGTAAAGTCACGTAGGTAAAAAATCAAAATTAATTTATTTGATTACAGCAAGCGTGCTGTGACGGTTCCACCTGAAGACGGAAGCTTGTGTTGCCTCCAAAACGTCGTGATTTTTATTTTGTTTAATTTTACTTTTATTACTATTTATTTTTTACCTACGTGACTTTACCTGTCTTGTTGCCAGAAAGGGTAAAACCAATTGTTATATTTTGATACTGGCAAGGGAGGTCCCATGATGTGATGGAGATGTTGATGGTGGTGGTGACATTGGCGGTGGCTGTGGTAGTGGTGGCTGTCATGATGATGTTGGTGGTGGTGGACTTGACATTGGTAGCTGTGGTGATGGTGATACAGATTTTGATGGTGGTGGTGTTGACAGTGGTGGTGGTGGTGGCTGTAGTGGTGGTGGCTGTGGTGGTGATGATGGAGATATTGATGGTGTTGGCTTTGGTGGCAGTGGTGGTGGTGATGGTGATACAGATATTGATGGTGGTGGTGTTGACAAAGGTGGTGGTGGTGGCTGTAGTGGTGGTGGTTGTGGTTGTGGTGATGGAGATATTGATGGTTGTGGCTGTAGTGGAGGTGGTGGTGGTGATGGTGATACAGATATTGATGGTGGTGGTGTTGACATTGGTGGTGGTGGTGGCTGTAGTGGTGGTGGCTGTGGTGATGATGGAGATATTGATGGTGGTGGCCGTGGTGGTGGTGGCGGTGGTGGTGGTGGTGGTGATGGAGATATTGATGGTGGTGGCCGTGGTGGTGGTGGTGGTGTTGACATTGGTGGTGGTGGTGGCTGTAGTGGTGGCGGTAGTGGTGGTGATGGAGATATTGATGGTGGTGGCCGTGGTGGTGGTGGTGGTGGTGGTGGTGGTGGTGATGGAGATATTGATGGTAGTGGCCGTGGTGGTGGTGGTGGCGGTGGTGGTGGCGGTGGTGGTGGTGATGGTGGTGGCGGGTGGTGATGGTGGTGCAGGTCTCTCCACGGGCCTGGTCCCCATGTACATCGGGGAGCTGTCCCCCACCGAGCTGCGGGGGGCTCTGGGCACCCTGCACCAGCTCGCCGTCGTCATCGGCATCCTCTTCGCTCAGGCAAGGCCCGCCCACTCGCTCGCTCTGCACCTCGTCCACTCACTCTGCACCTGGTCAACTCACTCTGAAACCTCACTGACTCTGCTCCCCATCCGAAACTATAAATGAAACTTTTTTTAATTTTATTTGACCAGGTCAGGACCCACTGAGCTATGCAGCTCTTTTCCAGAAGCGACCTGCTGCCTATCACAGAATTATATCTCAACCTAGTGGCTTATCATCGCGTGGGAATGTAGAGCAGCAAACTACTCTCAACACGTGATGTTGATTCCAAATGTGGAGGGAAAAAGGACCCGGAGAAAAATCCACGCGACCACGGGGAGAGAGAGAGAGAGAGAGACACGCAAACTCCAAATATACAGCAGCAGCAGGCGTCAGGGTCGGGATTGAACCCACGACCTCCTGTACACCAGGCGAGGTAGTTAACATCTCCTAGCCACCGTGATGATGATGAGAGAGAGAGACACGCAAACTCCAAATACACAGCAGCAGGCGTCAGGGTCAGGATCGAACCCACGACCTCCTGCACACCAGGCGAGGTAGTTAACATCCTAGCCACCGTAGCGCCCCCACCTCCTCCCCCCCCCACCCCCCTTCAAAGGCCTGCCCCGCGCCACGGCCTTTATTCGGCGCACTTGCCCCGACAGCCAGCGTGGGCTACACGGTGGGATAGGGGTGGTGGGGTGGGACCTTTACCTGTAGTGCCGCGTGCCGCGTGCTGCTGCAGGTGCTGGGCATGGAGTCGCTGCTGGGCTCCGAGTCGCTGTGGCCGCTGCTGCTCGGCTTCACGATGGTGCCCTCGGTGGCGCAGCTCGCCGTGCTGCCCTTCTGCCCCAAGAGCCCTCGCTACCTCCTCATCAACGAGGGCCTCGACAAGGAGGCGCGACAAGGTGAGACGCGGCGCCGGCGGCGGCGGCGGCTCAGGGATGCTGACGGCGTCGAGCGGCGGTTTGGCGGCAGGCTCGAATTCAGAAGTTCGCGGTTCGAATCCAGCGGCCGCCCCGGTTATTCTCTCTGTCTCTCTCGCTCTCGCTCCGCAGTGCTGGTGCGTCTCCGCGGCACGGGCGACGTGGAGCGCGACATGCAGGAGATGCGCGAGGAGCAGCGGCAGATGCAGCGCGAGGAGAGCGTCTCGGTGCTGTCGCTGCTGCGCTCGCGCGCCTACCGCCAGCCGCTGGTCGTGTCCGTCGTGCTGCACCTGTCTCAGCAGTTCTCCGGCATCAACGCCGTGAGTGGCGGCGGCGGCGCTCACCTTGCTGCTGCGGCCTCGCGCTCGGAGACGCGCAGGAGGCCGCAGCAGGGACGGCGACGACGACGACGACGATGACGACGATGACGACGATGACGATGATGAGGACGATGACGACGACGATGACAATGACGACGACGATGACGACAACGACAACGACGACGACGACGATGACGACGATGACGACGACAACGACGACGACGACGACGACGATGACGACGATGACGATGACGACAACGACAACGACGACGACGACGATGACGACGACGACAATGACAACGACGACGACGATGACTGAACGAAAAACGTAAAACTATATTTTCAACTTAAAGCTATTTACCGGTTAAGCCCTACTGAGCTTTCTTTTTTTTTTCACAGAACATCACAGCGACAGGAGCGTAAAGTGTAGGAAAGGGTAACTTAATCACTTTACAAATATTTTAAAAATCTACATTTTTGTTATCTTACCAAGTAAAAGCCCACTGAGCTATTCGCTTCTTGTTCAGAAGTGGACCTGGCCACAAATGACAGCTCAACGAAGTGGCTCATAGTGGTAGGGACCACCTGGTTACACCAGCCCACAGGGGATTATTGTATCCGTCCGTCCGTCGTGCATCCAAAAAGGGGAGGGGTGGGGCTGGGTGGAGAGGGGAGGGTAGGGAGGGGCTGGGTGGGGAAGGTGGGGAGGGGCTGGGTGGGGAGGGTGGGGCTGGATGGGGGGTGGGGCTGGTCACCCCGTGGTGCCCTTATAAAACTCAACGTTTAACCTACTCACGCCGGCTTGTGCCCACCCTCACAGTCGAGCATATTTGCGGAATACACCACGCCGCCGTTGACCCTGGCCATTGACCGAGCAACCCAACGTTCCTACCAGCTCCCTCCGCAGGAATGTGTTCGCGTGGAAATTTATAGCAGCAGCCATCTAAACAGACTGCTGGGGCAAGTGCTGTTAGCGGGTAGCACCTGTGAAGGCCGGCACGGCACACGAGGGGGGTGAGTGGCCAGCACCACGCCCGGCCGCCTTTGTCTCCCCAGTGGTGATGTTTACACACCGCGCAGCGGCAATGGTGGCAGCGGCGTCGACGATCGCAGTGGCGGTGTTATCGGTGTCGCAATGATGACGATGAGCGGGATGACGATGATGACAAATAAAACAATGATGATGATAAGATGACGATGACAATGATGATTGTCAACGAGAAGACGATGGCGATGACGATTCAATGATGGTGATGACGATGATGCCAATGAAATCGTTTGCCATTGCTGATTATCACAAAGACGATGATAATCACGATGATGATGTTGATGACGACAATGATGACAGTAATGATGATGGTGGCGGTAATGACGATGATGACGATGATGACGACAATGGCGATGACAATGATGATGACGATGATGGTGACGATGATGACGATGATGATGACGATGATGATGATGATGCTAACAATGCTAACAACGATGATGACGATGATGACGACGATGACAATGGCAATGACGATGATGACGACGATGACGGTGACGATGATGACAATGGCAATGACGGTGACGATGATGACGGTGACGATGATGACGGTGACGATGACAATGATAACAACGATGATGACGACGATGATGGTGACGATGATAACAATGGCAATGACGATGATGGCGACGATGATGGTGACGATGATGACAATGGCAATGACGATGATGGCGACGATGATGGTGACGATGATGACAATGGCAATGACGATGATGGCGACGATGATGACAATGGCAATGACGATGATGGCGACGATGATGGTGACGATGATGACAATGGCAATGACGATGATGGCGACGATGATGGTGACGATGATGACAATGGCAATGACGATGATGACAATGGCAATGACGACGGTGACGACGGTGACGAAGATGACGATGTCGCTCTCTCTCCGCCGCAGATCTTCTTCTACTCCACGAGCATCTTCACCAACGCCGGCGTGCCCAACCCCGTCTACGCCACCATCGGCGCCGGCGCTGTCAACGTCGCCTTCACCGTCGTGTCGGTGAGACACCGCGGCCGCCTCCGACACGGCCACTGTGGACCTCACGCACACAGAGACACAGAAACACACACACAGAGACACACACACACAGACACACACACACAGACACAGAGACAGAGAGACACAGACACAGAGAGACACACACACACACAGAGACACACACACAGACACAGAGAGATACACACAGACACAGAGAGAGAGACACAGACACACAGAGAGAGAGACACAGAGAGACACAGACACAGAGACACACAGACACAGAGACACAGAGACAGACACAGACACAGAGACACAGACACACAGACACAGACACACAGAGACACACACACAGACACAGACACAGAGACAGAGAGACACAGACACAGAGAGACACAGAGAGAGACACAGAGACACAGACACAGAGACACAGACACAGACACACAGACACAGAGACACAGACACAGAGAGACACAGATACACAGACACAGAGAGACACAGACACAGAGAGACACAGATACACACAGACACACAGACACACAGACACAGACACAGAGACACACAGACACAGAGAGATACACACAGACACAGAGACACAGAGAGACACAGACACAGTGAGAGACACACAGACACAGAGAGACACACACAGACAGAGAGAGAGACACACAGACACAGAGAGAGACACACAGACACAGAGAGACACACAGACACTGAGAGAGACACAGAGAGAAAGAGACAGACAGAGAGACACAGACACAGAGAGACACAGACACAGAGAGATGCACACAGACACAGAGAGACACAGACACAGAGACACAGAGACACACAGACACAGAGAGAGAGACACAGAAACACACAGACACAGAGACACACAGACACACAGAGACACAGACACACAGACACACGGACACACAGAGACACACAGACACACAGAGAGACACAGAGACACACACACACAGACACAGAGAGAGAGACAGACACAGAGAGACAGAGAGAGAGACACACATACACAGAAAGACAGAGAGAGAGACACACAGACAGAGAGAGAGACACAGACACACAGATACAGAAAGACAGAGAGAGAGACACAGAGAGAGAGACAGAGACACAGACAGACAGACAGAGAGACACAGATAGATACAAAGAGAGAGACAAAGAGAGAGACACACAGAGAGAGACACACAACAACCGCCATTCGCCACTGAGTGGCGGTGACGTCACCACGACGCTTGTGCCAGGCCATGTGCACCGTGAGGCCACGTGAAGTGTCGAACGCCCGCTGGCAGGAGGTCACGGGGCAGACCCAGCAGGTGCCACGGGTCAACTGACTGAGATGACCGAGATGACTCACTTCCTATACTGCCTCTCAACCTCCTTCACCTCTTCCTCATGCTCCACCTACGTCTCCTTTGTCGTTCTCTTCATCTGTTTCCTCCTTCCCCTCCTCTCTCCCTCCTCCCTCCCTCCCCCTCCTCCCCCTTCTCCCTCCATCTTACCCCTTTTCTCCCCTCCTCCCCCTTCTCCCTCCCCCCTCTCCTCTCCTCCTCCCCCTTCTCCCTCCCTCCCTCCTACCCCCTCCTCCCATCTCCTCTCCCCCCTCTCCCCCTCCTCCCCCTTCTCCCTCCCCCTCTCCCCCCCCCTCCCTCCCTCCCCCCTCTCCCCCTCCTCCCCCTTCCCGCTCCCATCTCCTCCCCCTTCTCCCCCCCCTCTCTCCCCCGCCCCCTCTCCCCCCCCCCCCCCCCGCGGTGTGCAGCTGTTCCTGGTGGAGCGTGCCGGGCGCCGCACGCTGCACCTCGTCGGCCTGGCAGGGATGGGCGTCTGCGCCATCGTCATGACCATCGCGCTCAGCCTGCAGGTGCCGTGCTGCTGGTGGCTGTGGGCACATGGCGGCGGGGTCATGGTCAGGGTCAGGGTCACTGGTTAGGGTCAGGGGTTAAATGTTAACCCTGGCCACAAGCCTAACTATGATCCTAGTGCAATCGCTAAACTCTGACCCATCAATCCTGACCCAGCAACCCTAACCCTGACCCATCAACTCTCACCCTGACCTGTGACCCCTTTGAGCCATGACCCCTTGAACCTTGACCCCCTTGAGCCATAAACCCTTGAGCCATATTCTTAGGTTTTTTCGGTAAAGTCACGTAGGTAAGAAATTTAAATTAATAAAAGTAAAATAAAAATAAAATAAAAATCACGACGTTTTGGAGGCAACACCAGCTACCGTCTTCCAAAACGTCTTGATTTTTATTTTACTTTTATTAATTTTAATTTTTTACCTACGTGACTTTACCGAAAAACCTAATAATATGAATCCTTGCAGTCACGAAAGCTTCAAACCTTGAGCCATAACCCCTTGAACCGTGACCCCCTTGAGCCATAACCCCTTGAACCTTGACCCCTTTTGAACCATGACCCCCTTGAGCCATGACCCCCTTGAACCTTGACCCCCTTTGAACCATGATCCCCTTGAGCCATGACCCCCTTGAGCCATAACCCCTTGAACCGTGACCCCCTTGAACCGTGACCCCTTAAACCCCCCTCCGCCCCCCCCCCACCACCCCCCACCGGCTTTGTGTGCGCAGAAAACCCTGGTGTGGATGTCGTACGTGAGCATCGTGGCGATCTTCGGCTTCGTGGCGCTCTTTGAGATCGGGCCGGGCCCCATCCCGTGGTTCATCGTGGCCGAGCTCTTCTCGCAGGGCCCGCGGCCCGCCGCCATCGCCATCGCAGGCTGCGTCAACTGGACGGCCAACTTCCTCGTCAGCATGTGCTTCCAGTACATCGAGGTGGGCCGCCGCCGGGAGTTTCGCTCGCTCGTCATCATCGTCGTTGTCGTCGTTGTCATCATTGTCATGATCGTCGTCGTCATCGTTGTTCATCGTCGCCATCGTTATCGTTGTGATCATTGTCATCATAATCGTCATCATTGTTGTTGTCATCGGTGTCTTCATCGTCGTCATCGTTGTCGTCGTCATCATCACCATCATCATGGTTGTCATCATCACCGTCGTCATCGCCATCGCCAGCTGCGTCAACTGGACGGCCGAGGTGGCCGCCGCGGGGATTTTCGCTCGTTCACTTGCTCGCTGTCGTCGTCGGAGTCAATATTGTCATCTTTGTCATCATCGCCATCGTTATTGTTGTCATCATTGTTGTCACAATCGTCGTCATCGTCGTCATCGTTGTCATTATCTTCATCGTCGTCATCATCGCCTTTGCCATCGTTGTCATCATTGTCATCATCGTCGTTATCGTCGTCGTCATTGTTGTCATCATCATTATCATAGTTATCGTCGTCGTCATCGTCGTCGCCATTGTCATCATCGTCATTGTTCTCGTCATCGTTGTCGTCATCATTGTCGTCATTGATGTCATCATCGTTGTCGTCATCGTCGTCGTCATCATCGTCGTCATCGTTGTCGTCATTGATGTCATCATCATTGTCGTCATCATCGCCAATGCTGACTGCGTCAATTGGACGGCCAACTTCCTCGTCAGCAAGAGCTTCCACTACATCAAAGTGGGCGGCCATGGGGATTTTTGCTCGCTCGTTCACTCGCTGTCGTCGTCGGAGCCATTGCCATCGTCATCGTTGTCATCGTCGTCATCATCGACGTCGTCATCGTCGTCGTCATCGTTGTTGTCGTCATCGTTGTCATCATCATCGTCATCACTGACGTCGCCATTGTCGTCGTCATCGTTGTCGTCATCGTCGCATTCGTTATCGTTGCCATTATTGTCGTAATCGTCGTCACTGTGGTCATCGTTTTCCTCATCTTCATCGTCGTCATCGTTATCGTTGTCATCATTGTCGTCGTCATTGTTGTCATCGTCGCAATCGCTATCGTCATCATTGTCATCATCGTTATGGTTATCCTTGTCATCATCGTCATCGTTGTCGTCATCAGCATCGTCATTATCATCGTCATCATCGTTTGACGCGTAGGTGGTGTTGTTGGCGGCGCTGAGAAGCGCAACGCTCGCACCTCGCAGCGACACCTGAAGATGATGTTGGTGATGATGATGCTGATGATGACGACGATGTTGGTGATACTGCTGATGATGATGACGACGACGACTACGTTGGTGATGCTGATGATGTTGTTGGTGATACTGCTGATGATGTTGTTGGTGATACTGCTGATGATGATGATGACGACGACTACGTTGGTGATGCTGATGACGTTAAATTTCGATTTAAAGCTTTCGTGACTGCAGGGATTCATCTTCTTGGTTCTTTCGGTAAAGTCACGTAGAAGGGAAGTAATAAAATAATAAAAATAAAACATAATAAAACAATTCTCACGACGTTTCGGCCACAACGCAAGCAGCCGTCCTCAGACTCTGTCGCCTCGACTGACCTGGTTTTCACCTGAGGACGGCTGCTTGCGTTGTGGCCGAAACGTCGTGAGAATTGTTTTATTATGTTTTATTTTTATTATTTTATTACTTCCCTTCTACGTGACTTTACCGAAAGAACCAAGAAGCTGATGACGTTGTTGGTGATACTGCTGATGATGTTGTTGGTGATGCTGATGATGTTGTTGGTGATACTGCTGATACTGCTGATGACGATGTTGTTGATGCTGATGATGATGTTGTTGGTGTGCCCCCGCAGGACCTCACGGGCCCCTACGTGTTCGTGATCTTCGTGGTGCTGATGACTACGTTGGTGATGCTGATGACTACGTTGGTGATGCTGATGATGATGTTGTTGGTGTGCCCCCGCAGGACCTCACGGGCCCCTACGTGTTCGTGATCTTCGTGGTGCTGCTCGCCCTCTTCTGCCTCTTCACGTACTTCAAGGTGCCCGAGACGAAGGGCCGCAGCTTCGAGGAGATCGCCGCCGCCTTCGGGGGCAACGCCGCCACCGCCGCCGGCGGCACGCGGCCCCACGACAAGGAGGAGGCCCACGGCCTGCAGTCTGAGTCTCAAGTCTAGCGGACTCACTCGCTCGCTCGCTCAGTCACTCGCTCGCTCAGTCACACACTCGCTCAGTCACTCGCTCAGTCACACACTCGCTCGCTCAGTCACTCGCTCGCTCAGTCACACACTCACTCACTCGCTCAGTCACACACTTGCTCGCTCAGTCACTCGCTCGCTCGCTCAGTCACACACTCACTCGCTCGCTCACACACTCGCTCACTCGCTCAGTCACACACTCACTCACTCGCTCAGTCACACACTCATACACTCACTCACACACTCGCTCAGTCACACACTCACTCACTCGCTCGCTCACTCACTTGCTCGCTCACACACTCACACACTCACTCAGACACACACTCACTCATTCACTCACACACACACTCACTCACTCGCTCAGTCACACACTCACACACTCACTCACACACTCACACACTCACTCACGCACTCAATCGCTCGCTCACTCACTCACTCACTCGCTCGCTCAGTCACACACTCACTCACACACTCAGTCACACACACACTCAGTCACACACACACTCACTCACACATACTCAGACGCACACACTCAGTCACACTCACTCACACACTCACACATACTTAGACGCACACACTCACTCACACACTCAGTCAGACTCACTCACTCACACGCTCACACACTCACGCACTCACTCGCTCACACACTCACTCACACACATACTCAGACGCACACACTCAGTCAGACTCATTCGCTCATACACTCACTCACGCACTCACACACACACTCGCTCACATACTCACACACATACCCAGACGCACAACTCACTCACACACTCACACTCGCTCACACACTCACTCACACACTCACTCGCTAACACACATACTCAGACGCACACACTCACTCACACACTCAGTCACACTCACTCGCTCACGCACTCACTCACACACTCAGTCACGCTCACTCGCTCACGCACTCACTCACACACTCACTCACAAAGACAAATATCCCCCGCATAGCCTGAACACTTACACTCACTTGTACACACACGCACACACTCACTAACTCACTCACTAATACACACACACACGCACACACTCACACACTCTCACTCACTCACTCACACAAAGATCCCCCTTGTCACTTACACACATGCACACACGCATGCTCACACATATAGATACACGCGCACGCACGAGACGTGCAAGCTGCAGTCCGAGCACCAAGTCTCTCAGACTCACACAAAGACAAAGATACCCCGTATAGCCTGTGACAGACTGTCGGGGCAAGTGCTGTTAGCGAGCAGCACCTGTGAAGGCCGGGACGGTACACGAGGAGGTGGTGTGGCCAGTCCCATATAAGTGCACGTCAATACACACGTGTCAACACGTAAACATAGACACACACACATATATATACTGTACATGTAAACGGTATATCACACGCAAAGACAAAGACCCCCCTCGTAGCCTGTAACAGACGGTCGGGGCAAGTGCTGTTAGCCAGCAGCACCTGTGAAGGCTGGCACGGCACGCGAGGGAGTTGTGTGGCTAGCACCACGCCCGGCCGGCTTTGTCTCCCCTGTTGTTTACACACCGCACCAGCTACTCATTTGAGGCTGAGTCTACTTGGGAGGAGACCCTGGACCGATTTGAGATGTGAATCGCCACTGGCGTTAGCCGTGCCGGGGAGTCGAACTCGGCTCTCCGGCTCTGCAGCTTATGACGGCGTGGTGGTGGCCTCACAACCCCCGTTGCCTTGAACAGGTGCTCGTTATCTCCGTGGTTCTTTCGGTAAAGTCACGTAGAAGGGAAATAATAAAATAATAAAAATAAAACATAATAGGATAAAATTCTCACGACGTTTCGGCCACAACGCAAGCAGCCGTCCTCAGGTAAAGAACAGGTCTGTCGGAAAGACAGCGTCTGAATGAAACACCACCAGGCTTGGAGTGTATATTTAAGCTGGGTTGGAGGGGGAAGAGCGCCTTGACAAAGGAATTTGCATATCGAGAGGAATTTAGCATATTTATGGGAAATGCAGATATGGGATTAGTCACTACTTGTGGAATGCGTAGGAGGTGGGGGGGGGGGGGGGTTTCAAAGTCATATTATGCCCGTACATTATGCAGTATGCAGGATTAGCAGGTGCTCGCTAACAGCACTTGCCCGAATAGTATGCTAAATTTCGATTTAAAGCTTCAGACGCTGTCTTCTCGACAGACCTGTTCTTCACTTGAGTACGGCTGCTTGCGTTGTGGCCGAAACGTCGTGAGAATTATTTTATGATGTGACTTTACCGAAAGAACCAAGAAGATAGTATGCTAAAGCTATACAGGGCAAGGGGGCGTCTACATCTGCAGAACGTAAATAACCAGTGGCATCTACATCTGCAGAACATGAACCAGTGGCATCTACATCTGCAGAACATGAACCAGTGGCATCTACATCTGCAGAACATGAACCAGTGGCATCTACATCTGCAGAACATGAACCAGTGGTATCTACATCTGCAGAACATGAACCAGTGGCATCTACGTCTGCAGAACATGAACCAGTGGCATCTACATCTGCAGAACATGAACCAGTGGCATCTACATCTGCAGAACATGAACCAGTGGCATCTACATCTGCAGAACATGAACCAGTGGCATCTACATCTGCAGAACATGAACCAGTGGCATCTACATCTGCAGAACATGAACCAGTGGCATCTACATCTGCAGAACATGAACCAGTGGCATCTACATCGGCAGAACATGAACTAGTGGCATCTACATCTGCAGAACGTAAATAACCAGTGGCATCTACATCTGCAGAACGTGAAGAACCAGTGGCATCTACATCTGCAGAACGTGAAGAACCAGTGGCATCTACATCTGCAGAACGTGAAGAACTAGTGGCATCTACATCTGCAGAACGTGAAGAACCAGTGGCATCTACATCTGTAGAACGTGAAGAACCAGTGGCATCTACATCTGCAGAACGTGAAGGACCAGTGGCATCTACATCTGCAGAACATGAAGGACCAGTGGCATCTACATCTACAGAACGTGAAGAACCAGTGGCATCTACATCTACAGAACGTGAAGAACCAGTGGCATCTACTTCTACAGAACGTGAAGAACCAGTGGCATCTACATCTGCAGAATGTGAAGAACCAGTGACATCTACATCTGCACAACTTGAAGGACCAGTGGCATCTACATCGGCAGAACATAAAGAACTAGTGGCATCTAAATCTGCAGAACATGAAGAACCAATGGCATCTGCAGAATGTGAAGAACCAGTGGCATCTACATCTTCAGAACGTGAAGAACCAGTGGCATCTACATCTGCAGAACAAGAAGAACCAGTGGCATCTACATCTGCAGAACGTGAAGAACCAGTGGCGTCTACATCTGCAGGACATGAAGAACCAGTGGCATCTACATCTGCAGAACGTGAAGAACCAGTGGCATCTACATCTGCAGAACGTGAACGACCAGTGGCATCTACATCTACAGAACGTGAAGAATCAATGGCATCTACATCTGCAGAACATGAAGAACCAGTGGCATCTACATCTACAGAACATGAAGAACCAGTGGCATCTACATCTTCAGAACATGAAGAATCAGTGGCATCTACATCTGCAGAATGTGAAGAACCAGTGGCATCTATATCTGCAGAACGTGAAAAACCAGTGGCGTCTACATCTGCAGGACATGAAGAACCAGTGGTATCTACATCTGCAGAACGTGAAGAACCAGTGGCATCTACATCGGCAGAACGTGAAGAACCAGTGGCATCTACATCTGCAGAATGTGAAGAACCAGGGGCATCTGCATCTGCAGAACGTGAAGAACCAGTGGCGTCTACATCTGCAGGACATGAAGAACCAGTGGCATCTACATCTGCAGAACCTGAAGAACCAGTGGCATCTACATCGGCAGAACGTGAAGAACCAGTGGCATCTACATCTGCAGAACATGAAGAACCAGTGGCATCTACAGAACACGAAGAACCAGTGGCATCTACATCTTCACAACTTGATGAACCAGTAGCATCTACATCTACAAAACACGAAGAACAACTGACATCTACATCTGCCGGAGATCATACCGCTTTTAAAGCCATTCCCATGCGTTTAGTGCACACGATGTGCAACGTGTTACGAACAGAGACTTCTAACTCGATCGTACGTAGTGGAGCCCCCTGTATGAGTTCAAGTTGCATCGGCACACCAATTACCGAGCCTGCGAAAAATTTACCCGTAAAAACAAAGTTTTTCACTATAAATCCTTTATATGCGTGGCGGCTAGTCCTCTCGTCTCTGGCTTGAGATGGCTGCCACCTATGGGTCAGATGATTGTCTGCCACCATTAAGCAATTGGTAATTAAATATAATTTATTTTTTCCTAAAAAGTGTAAAATTTAGGAAAAAATTTCACGAACATTAATTGTCACGCACAACGAGTCTGTGTGCAAAATGTCAGCTCGATTGGATCACGGGAAGTGGGTTAAAAAACGACCGAAAGATTTGCACGGTCCTAAGCGCGCAAGCAAGCAAGTGAACTTAATATAAAGGATTTAAAAAGCAGCAAAACAACGGCAAGAACAGTCCCAGAGTGCACCGAGACAACACGCAGCAGTCGTGCCTCAATAACATTGAGCATTGAACTGGAACTATCGATACTGCCCGGGTGAGGATCAAAGTTACGAATCACACAATTTGGGGTTTCCAGCACTCGCTGTTTGGCTATACTTCACCATTGCTGGTCAGTGCGGGTTTGGTGAAGAATGGGGGGATTGTCCACAGCCACGACCACCACCACATCACGTGGTGGTGGCTGGAGGTGGTCGTTGTGGTGGTCGTGGTGGTCGTGGTCGTGGTGGTGGCTGGAGGTGGGACCATGCGATTGCTTTGCCCCGCGCCACTCCTGGCGGATTGACCGCCAGTTGGTATGGGGGTGCCATCCACGGTGACTAGGAGATGTTAACTACCTTGTCTGGTATGCAGGAGGTCGTGGGTTCGATCCCAACCCTGACGCCTGCTGCTGTATATTTGGAGTTTGTGTGTCTCTCTCTCTCCATGGTGAGATGTTAACTACCTTGCCTGGTATACAGGAGGTCGTGGGTTCGATCCCGACCCTAACACCTGCTGTATATTTAGAGTTTGCGTTTCGCTTTCTGAGGTTGCTTGGATTTTTCTCCGGGTCCTCCGGTTTTTCCCTCCACATTTCGAATCCACATCACTCGAGTATTTGGCAACTGCTATAATTGTCCACGTGATGATGAGCCACTTCGTTGGGCGATCGTTCGCGGTAGCCAGGTCGCTTCTGACACAAGAGCCACGTGGCTCAGTGGGGGCCTTATCTGGCCAAATACAAAATAGAAATGGTTTTAGATTCAAAGGACAACGCAGGTTAAAGGCGCAGCCTTGAAATGTCCGTCTCGCACAACTGCTGGCGGATTGGCCGGCAGTGGTACGAGCAAAAGATCCACCCCCCCATCTCTCCAGAGAGGCATTTTTAAATTCTTTATATTAAGTTCACTTGCTTGCTTGCTTGCTTAGGACCGTGCAAATCTTTCGGTCGTTTTTTAACCCACTTCCCGTGATCCAATCGAGCTGACATTTTCCAACACAGACTCGTTGTGCGTGACAATTAATGTTCGTGAAAATTTTTGTTCCAAAATTTTACACTTTTTAGGGAAAACAAATTAAATATTTAATTACCAATTGCTTAATGGTGCAATGCAATCATCTGACCCATAGGTGGCAGCCATCTCAAGCCAGAGGACGAGAGGACTCTAGCCGCCACGCATATAAAGGATTTAGAGTGGAAAACTTTGTTTTCACGGGTTATACTTGTTGTACTCTTTTACACTGGCCAGACCTCTTGAATTACCCACATTTTCCCACCACAGTCGTTGACTATTCCCAGCCAATTGGAGAACAGGGCCATCGACAAACCAGTCAATCAGAAGAGCGAGATAGGAGGGGGAGTAAAGTGATGAATCGACCAGAGAGAGGGGAGGGGGGTGAGGAGTTTAATCAATCAATCAGAAAGTTGCAAAGTGATTGATGCATCAACCAATCAGAGAGGGAGGGGGACAACGCGTTGACTCATCCAATCAGAAAGTGGCAAAGTGATTGATGCATCAACCAATCAGAGAGGGAGGGGGGCATGGAGTTGACGCAACCAATCAGAAAGTGGCAAAGTGATTGATGCATCAACCAATCAGAGAGGGAGGGGGGCATGGAGTTGACGCAACCAATCAGAAAGTGGCAAAGTGATTGATGCATCAACCAATCAGAGAGGGAGGGGGGCATGGAGTTGACGCAACCAATCAGAAAGTGGCAAAGTGATTGATGCATCAACCAATCAGAGAGGGAGGGGGGCATGGAGTTGACTCAACCAATCAGAAAGTGGCATAGTGATTGATACATCAACCAATCAGAGAGGGAGGGGGGCATGGAGTTTACTCAACCAATCAGAAAGTGGCAAAGTGATTGATGCATCAACCAATCAGAGAGGGAGGGGGGCAAGGCGTTGACTCAACTAATCAGAAAGTGGCAAAGTGATTGATGCATCAACCAATCAGAGAGGGAGGGGGGCATGGAGTTTACTCAACCAATCAGAAAGTGGCAAAGCGATTGATACATCAACCAATCAGAGAGGGAGGGGGAATGGAGTTTACTCAACCAATCAGAAAGTGGCAAAGTGATTGATGCATCAACCAATCAGAGAGGGAGGTGGACATGGAGTTTACTCAACCAATCAGAAAGTGGCATAGTGATTGATACATCAACCAATCAGAGAGGGAGGGGGGCATGGAGTTTACTCAACCTATCAGCAAGTGGCAAAGTGATTGATGCATCAACCAATCAGAGAGAGAGGGGAGGGGGGAAAGGTTTTGACTCAGCCGTTCGGGGAGTGGCTAAGTGACGAGTTTCACACGTCAGATTTCGCGACCAATTATCCATAATAGAGGCTTTTGGGTTAGATGTCGTAAATATAAATGTGTCGTTAAACCCGCCACCACCCGACACAGCCATTGATTAATTTAATAGTCTATGAGGGGAATATCTTCTATATTTTACCGTTTTCTAATTATTCAGATTTGAACATCATAAAATTCAGATTTCTTTTTCGTTAAAAACCGCTTGAATCCTAAATATCTCAAAAATAATGACAGAGAGGACAATGGTTGCCGTTTTAATGTTATTTTCTGTTTAACGCTCTATCAAAGTAACAAAAAACGCACTCGTATCTTGAACGGTTTCTGAACGACACCACTTGAACAAACATGTTTAATGGGCAATCTTGCTTTCAAGCTTTCATGACTGCAGGAATCCATACTCTTTGGTTTATAGAGCGCTTAAAATCGAGACTGGGTAGCCTTCAAATGGCAAATCTCGGATTTTGTGTCCTAAAAGTTACCTATGTACCAAATTTCAGCTTTCTACCTTGTTGCGAAGTACCACCGAGGGTTTTTTGACACGTACATATATACCACATACACACAGATTAAGGTCTTTATATTTATATCGATAGCAGCGCCGGGAGACGGAGTCAAACCTAGTCACCCACCACGTCTGTATCGATTATCATTGTTTGTTTATCGCACTGCGCACGAACTTTACTGTACTCTGATGCCCCCTGCTGGTGAAATATTCGTGGCCTTCAAAGGGATGAGGGGGAAGTCGTAACAGGTTTTTACCCTTTTATCTGGCAACAAAACTGACACCTTGATACAAGGGATCATGTTTGCATTAACCACAACACTTGCGGTCAAAATGCAAACAAAAAGGCAACTCTGATAATGTATGCACTGTCCTTGAAATTGATTGGTCCACACCCGAGACAGCTTTTCTTAGAGCCCAGACTCACATGGTGTTGGACCAGATGACGCCTTTTGGCGTGATCTGGGCTCTAAGGAAAGCTGTCTCGGGTGTGGACCAATATCTTGCTACTGGCAAAGGAGGTCTCATAATGGATGAGGGGGAGCCTATAAAATGTAATAGTCGACGTTTCGGACGATGGCCCTTCATAGCACATGGCCAATTTCCCGAAGAAGGTTCATTGCCCGACTCGTTGCCTATTACCTATGCATATATGCTTTGACGTATATTCTCGGAATTGTGTTGTCTTCTTTTAGGCCACTTGTGATTTTTTTTATTGCCGGATGTGTTGAGTGTTGTTGTTTTTGTTGTTGTTGTTGTTGACGTTTCGTCTTTGTGCACCACTGCCAAAGCAGCAGCAGTAATAACAGTAGTAGCAGCAGCAGCAATAGCAACAGTAGCAGCAGTAGCAGCAGTTGAACTTTACTTGCGATCGCAGCCCGCGCGTGTCAGAACGACAACGGGACGTTAGGAAATGAAAGACGCAAAGCCCCACGGGAGTGAGACTGTGGGCACGTGACCCTAACTCTGGACCGCGTGGTAAACCCACAGAGACACACAGAGGTACAGAGACACCCATAGAGATGCATAGAGACATGTAGAGACACACAGAGACGCATAGAGATACACATACTTATAGAGATACACAGAGACTTATAGAGATACATATAGACTCATAGAGATACACAGAGACTTATAGAGATACACAGATACTTATAGAGATACATAGAGACATGTATAGATACATCAAGACTTATAGAGATACATAGAGACATGTATAGATACATCAAGACTTATAGAGATACACATATACTTATAGAGATAGATAGAGACATGTAGAGATACACAGATACTTATAGAGATACACAGATACTTATAGAGATACATAGAGACATGTAAAGATACATCAAGACTTATAGAGATACATAGAGACATGTATAGATACATTAAGACTTATAGAGATACACATATACTTATAGAGATAGATAGAGACATGTAGAGATACACAGATACTTATAGAGATACACAGATACTTATAGAGATACACAGAGACGTATAGATATACACATACTTATAGAGATACACAGAGACTTATAGAGATACATATAGACTCATAGAGATACACAGAGACTTATAGAGATACACAGATACTTATAGAGATACATAGAGACATGTATAGATACATCAAGACTTATAGAGATACATAGAGACATGTATAGATACATCAAGACTTATAGAGATACACATATACTTATAGAGATAGATAGAGACATGTAGAGATACACAGATACTTATAGAGATACACAGATACTTATAGAGATACATAGAGACATGTATAGATACATCAAGACTTATAGAGATACATAGAGACATGTATAGATACATCAAGACTTATAGAGATACACATATACTTATAGAGATAGATAGAGACATGT